ACGAGGGGTGACAGATTTTTCCACGGACTTTGATAGAGAAGAAGCCTTAATAACAGATTCAGGGTTAGATGATTGGCAGAAGCCAACAGAAGTTTCGTAAAAAATGTGTTACTAAATGTTTTTATCGACGCTCTCCCAAATTCGGAACAATTAAGTACGTCCATAATTTTTCACTTAAAATCCCGAAAGTTCGTACTTTCTCAAGACCGTATACAGAAATTTTGCAATTAAACGAGCCCCTGAGTCCCGCAACCAGGCAAACGCTCGCGCGCAATACGGGTTGCGATTCGTTTATTGTTTACGATCCCATACCAAGGTACCGACGAGGGTGTTTCCATTTTTTTTTTCTCTCTCGAGAAACGCGACTTGTAGACACACACGGCAGTAACTCACGAGTTTAATTGGTCAGACGTCAAGCAGTATCGGTTTGCGCTCCCGCTTTGTGTCAACAGTCTCCGTTTATTTTTGCTTTCGCGTTTGTTTGCGACCCTCCCATTCCCGATTGTTCCCGGGACGTGGGTTGGGACCGTATGGCCGTCGGATTTAAGTGACGGCCCATAAACAATCGAAAACCAAAATCGCGGCCCCTGATTTGACCTTTACAGGCAACCGGGTATACGTCGTTGATATACGTTTACATTTTTTATGGCTGTGTTGAAATATATGGGTCTTGATGGTCCCCTTTTCGTTAAAAAAAAAAAAGTTCCATCGACACCTTTAAGCAAACAGGCGAAAAGAAAAAGTTGTTCCTAAATCGAGTGGCGACTTGAATGATCTTTTTAAGGAGATGATTGTTAATGCCAAATTAGAAAGGCAGCTTTTTTTATATTACTAATTATATTACTAATTGTTAATGTGCCATATATATATAGTATTAAGGATATTTATATATAATAGGTTAGATTATAATATATAATATTATATAATATAATAAAAGTATCTCATTCTGTAAACCGATGAGCAGTCAATGCAAGACGAACTGCATAACCTTGAGTCAGTTTCCTGGTATATTTGCATTTCTTTCTTCCGCCAAAACTTCTTCTGGGTTCTCCCCAAAATCAATGCCGATATCGTATAAAACAGCACAAGCCAGGACCATCACGCGAGCAGTTTCTAACCAAAACCCTCTCACCAAATAAGGGAAACGTCTTTTCCACACTCAAAATAACCTTTCTACAATATTTCTTGTTCTGATTTGTCTCGAATTATACAAAATTTCAGAGTTGTTTTCTGAATCAATCAACGTAGTAGTAACTGTGATTTGAACCGAATATGTGAATGGTTAGGTAAAAACAAACTTAATATTAATGCGTCAAAGACTAAATTTTGTCAATATAGAAAAAATAAAAATTGAAATAAATGACATGCCAGTACGCGAAAATAAAATTGAGTACCTTGGACTCATGTTAGACTCAGAACTAACGCTACGACATCATGCTGATTATGTAATGAGAAAATTTTCACAAAAAGTAGGATTTATATGTAGAATAAGCCATAGTCTTTCCACGTACAGCAAATACCTTAAGTAATTCAAAATAGAGCATTAAGATCGATCTTAAAGTGAAACAGATACGCTCCTGTAAACCTAATGTCAAATGTTGTTAATGTCATGACGGTTAAACAAGGAATTATTTATGATGCAAATATTTTTATGTATAAGTTACATCTGTGATAAGGTAAAATATTTTAACAGCGTGCATAGTTACTATACGACAAACTATGTTGAGGGAATACGTGATGTCTAGATTTTAAGTATAAATCACTGTTTCATCATAATTTTGCCTATATGTTTATTTCTAGTTACAGTTACGAGGTTAGCGCCAAAATTTCCCGGCCTGACATAGATGCAGCACCAGTATCAAGATAAAACTTTGTCTTCTTTTAAATATATATCTTAGTAGTCTGCGAAAAAAAAATTGAAGTCTTGCGTCAAATAGTTTTTGATTGACAGCATTTTAAACAAGACGTGTCCGAAAAAATTTTGCAAATAACTCAAATTGAGTATAGAGCAGTCATAAAGTTTTTGACAAAAGAAGGGTTAGCACCTAAAATTATTAAAGAAAGGCTGAATGGGGCAGGAGTTCCTTGAAGATGATTCAAGAACTGGTCGACCAGTGGAGGTATAACCGAAGATATTGTTGAGTGATCGACGTTTAAAGGTCAAGCAAATCTCATAAATTACTAAGCTGCACTATCAAAAAGAATCAGAATCATCTGTTACAGTGCATGCTTGAAGTTCGTCGTGAACAAATTATTGATGAAATTAACAATTCCCCGTTTTAAGGACGCCTTAAAAATGTCCTCGCGTGCCGCCACTGTCCAAACTTTTTCTGCGGTATTTTAAAAAAATTAAAAATCGCGTTTCCAAGGGTCCAAGAGAAAGATTAGTAATCGAAAACCAGTTATACTACCGAAAAAAATCTGGAACAGGAAAATTCGGATCCATAAACATCCATTCTTGACAATTTTTAAAAAATGTACAGGGTGCGCAGCAAATTGAAAAACCAAAACTTTCGTATTTCAAAAATTAACGGGGGTCTTAAATTTGCAGCTATCGACGAGACAATTTGACGAAAAGGAACAAGTCCACACCCAAGGATCGTAAATCTAATAGGATTGCCCAAACCCATAAGACATACGTTCGCCAAAATTATCGATCGCGCGTGGTCGCTTGTGACGTAAGCGGAGTTTTTGAAGTATTAAACCGTTGTATTTTGTGTTCTTTGAACAATTAAATTAATTTAGGTAGTGAGACCCTAGACAAAACAGTGATTTTAAGCTTTAACAAATACTTTAAAATTGTATGTGCTTGAGTGGCGAGAACTGCGAAAAACAGTATTTTTAACCTTAAACAAAGACTTCAAAGTTTTGTGTTCGTGCCGCTTATTAGCGGTGTTATTAGTTGGGAGGTAAGCTCAAAATATTACCCATAATAATATAGGTAAAGGTAAGAAATACATTTGTTTTACCTTTTTCTGTGGGATAAGTTACATCAAAAAATAGTTACGTCAGCCTGGAACGAAATGTGCCAACTATTTTGACGAAAAAGCAAGTTCTCGAAAATGTAGTTTTCATCGCTTTCCCAAAGGGAAAGATCTAGTATCCCGAACTGTTCGGAACGAATGGATAGTTCGATGTAGAAGAGAGGACAAACTTAATCCAGATAAAAATATTCTACAGGTATCCCCAATGTAGGAGATTATACTTATAAAATTACCACAGATCATCATTACAGCATTCCCTCTTGGGTACAACAGTTATCGTAGGGGGCCTTATAAAGCCTTCTGATCATTTTTTCAAAAAAATTATAAAATGGAACTTTTATTTTGAATCCCATCATGGTGATTCCCTTCGAAAAGGGCAAGGGATGGTAAAAAACTTTGCAAAAAAAATATTTAAAACAGAAAAAGAATTACCATTTAGTTTAGTTAGATTCTTGTAAGCTGAGAACGATAATTCGTATGAACTTCAGAAATTTAAAAGCAAAATATAACGCTAGTCTAAAAAGAAATGATACCCGCAGAAAAAAATTAGAAAGTATGGTAAAATTGTAAAATAAAGATTTAAGTATATGTAGTAATATGCATTTTTTATATTATATACATTCGAGGGTACATATAAATACATATTATTATTTACCTACCACCTATAAATAGTTGTTTTGTATGCCCAATACATTTTTTGTTTTTTAATACGTTCTTTAATATATCCAAAAATAGAGATTTCTAGTTTATAAGTATTTGTTGATTTTTGTATATTTAAAATGGTAGAATGCCGTAAAACACGTAAAAGCCAAACTTGATGGCAATAGTATTATATTTACCCTACCTGAGACCATACCCTACGCCACGTCCCAATAATTATTAAATAAGTACTAAAAATAATAATATATAAAATAACGAGTGATTATCCAAACAAAATGCTATGTTAGCTGCTCAAGATACTCAAAGTCCATCAAAAACCGTAAATCAAAATTCGTGAAAAATATGGCTAATCGGTTTCAACAGTGTTATAGGCCACATCGGGAGCTAAAATTTTTGTATTTAAGATTTTCTTCCATCACGCACGCTGCTCGAGATATTTGAATAAATCCATCTTGTTTGACTGAAATGCCGACAGTAATTTTGGTGCCGCCCGGTATATCGTTCCCAAAACGGGATTATTATAATTTGGGCGAACTGTTAAGGCCGACGTCATCCGCGATAAGATCTGATAAGGCGCGGCCGGCTTTGATGGAGTTATTATTTCGCCGTGACTTTTTTTTTCTAAAATTAACTGGCGTTTATCAAACGTTAAACGCGGATGTATTCATTCAATAACGTAAATCCTCCCGCTTTCCCGTGTTGATTTAGATACGTTACATGTCGGACGGCAAATATTTTCGTAACTTTTATGTAATTTTCGTCGTAGACGTTTGCTTTAATGTTTCTGGGTCAACGATTAAACCGTATTTAATCAGCTTAATAGGATGTCGGCGCGTCGGACGGGTCGTTAGCTGGTACCGCCTCATTTTACACAAAAACAAACCGCAAAATGGACACATAAAACCTGCAAACCCATCTTCGCTAAATTTTCTAACCTTCAAATTCGATCTGTCGCGAAAAATCGCAAGCCGAAACGATGACCACGAAAACAAGAAGTGTTCTGCGGCGAATTTGGCGATTGTTTCGGCTTCGCGAAAAATCGATGCGAGATCTTTAACAATCAAGGCGGCTATTCGCGAAACTAACCAAAGTCGTTTTACGCCGTTTAACCGCGGGCGGATCGTCTGGTGTCGGTTTCGTGTTTTTTCAGTGCCGAACATTGTGCCTACATTGTATCCAAACTGGAACGACGCATTCTAGAATGGCGACTTCGTTTCCGATCCGTTTTACTGGACGCGACTTTTTGCGACTCGCAATGGTACATAACCCAATAAAATATAAGGCTGGTAGAATTACGGCGACCTTGGGCGCTAAAAATACACACGCGAAATGTTTAAATAAAAGAAGTCGACTCACCATAAGTTAAAAATTCCGATCGTGGTCGCTGCCTCCGCCGCCGCCGAATCTCAAAGTCCTCGCTACTTTTATTATTATTATTATTATTTTGCTTATTATTATTACGATCGTTGCGTGCCGCCTCGCGACGATGTTAATAGGAAATATATTATCGTTTGCATTCACGTGATCTTAACACTTACGAACCGTGTCTATTTATAACTTTTATTATTTGCATTCGCGATAAAAAAAACAGGCATGTTTTATTTACCGAAAAATGTTTCCACGCAGACGGTTTTCGGATAAATCCGGTTCGGAAACGCGGAAGTGCACTCGCGTTTTCGGTGCCCACTTGATTTTTTTTCGTTTTTCGAGTACCCGACACTCGAAACGGTCGCGGGCCGGCGGCGGGCGCGGGGGGGCGCGAGCACTCGATCTTACGCGGATCGTTCACTAAAATCGCGACGGCCGACACTGCCGGGCATTGTTTAAATAGCTCGGGGCCCTTTATCGTCGTAACAATGACACCCAATTTTCAATTTGCTCGCACAGAACGTAACCGATAATGACGGTTCGTCCGGAATTCGACACGCGGCGACGGCGCTACTCTGTGCCACGATAACATCGCGAAACCCGAATCGCTGCGGCACTAGCCTGTTGAATGCGTTTCGTTCGACGCGGCGCAGGAAACCATCGGGTTCGCTTTTAACATCTTGTTTACAACGAACGGACGTGGGAAAGCTTCGCGGGCGCGGTCGCGCCATCTGACGTCCGCGCCGCCGATTACGTGCGGGTCGTGTATGACGTTTCCGTTCGCCGTCGCACTTGGTTCGGTCAGCTGACGGCAGGGGGCCGCATATCTGCGCGCATCGGAAACACGGACAAAATTTCTTCTTCCATCCCGCAGCTAAATTTCCCGTTCCATTGTTGCCAAATATTCAGTTATCATTCATGGTTTTAATTCGAGACGTTGGTTGACGAACAAATGTGACGAGTGTAATCCATTACTCTGATATCATTTCCACGAAGTTCTTCGTGAGTTCCAATTTTCGTCAATTTTTGTGTCTATTCAGTTCTCGCCACTCAAGCACATACAATTTTAAAGTATTTGTTAAAGCTTAAAAACACTGTTTTGTCCAAGTTTTTTTTTGCAGAAATACATTTAACACAAACATAAGCGCACTACTCACTAGTGTAAATTGTTTTAATTGTTCAAAGAACCCAAAGTACAACGGTTTAATACGCCTTCAAATGTATTGACAGAATACACAAAAACCGTCAGAGGACTTCGCCTACGTCACAAGCGACCATGTGCGATCGATAATCTTGGCGAACGTATGTCTTATGGGATTGGGCAATCCTATCAGGTTTACGATTATTCTTGAACGTATACCTCTTCAAATTTGTTTTTCCCTTCTGGATTTTAAATAATAACATGGATCGCATCAAAATTCGACTTTTACGTAATTTTGCGTAGTATGCGAGGCTGGTACAGATGAAGTTTATAAAACTAACCAAAACTAAATCTGCTGATAGCTGAAAGCGTTAATGCTAGTCCAGATTTACCTAAATACTTTGAAGTCATGTTTGATGGCACAAAGTATACGATGTGATCCCACCGAATTATATCAAAAACAAATCATAACAGTTATTACCGATTCACATTCATATTTTAATGACAACGTTTTATTCTTTATTTAAAAATTTAAATTAAATTAATAAATTCTTACAATACATAGATGATGTTTTGCCTGTTTCACTGAAACCGAAAGACAACTGCAGTCACCTTTGAATCATGTTAACTCGATACATAACGGCGTACAATTGACCATAAAGACGGAACAAAAGAACTCTCTAAAGTTTCTGGACTTAACTATAACGAAACTACAGAACAAGCAGAATAATACATAATAACTCAAATCACCCTGACACACACAAGATGCTTTTAGCAACACTTAATGCACCACTTTCTACAGAAAATTTTGAAAAAGAATTAAATATTATAAAACAAGTAGTTTTTAACAATGGTCACGACCCCTCTTTAATATATAAGATTATAACTAAAAAGCAGTCTCAAATAACCCTGAACTCTAACCATAAAATCCACAGAAGAAATTAGCAAGAAAATTTTGTATTAATATTGCTTTTAAAACTGAAAACACCATAAGACATTTTCTAAAAAACAAATCTAAATTACGAAAAACTCAAAAATCCGAAGTCTACAAGTTGAAATGCGGGTCTTGTTCCAAAATTTATATCGGACAAAAAGGTAGATTATAGAAACGTACAACTTTGACGATAATTTTGATATTTTACATAATCATTCATTTGTTGGAAGCTGTGGCGATTAACAAAATGAGATATTCGGATTTATTACTTAATGACCAATTGGATTCAAATGCGTCTCCGTTGTTAAATTGAAATTTATAATTACCTGTTAACTACTACTGTTTTTATATATAAGTGTCGGAATATAATCATATTTTGTATTTGATAAAGGCATGGTGTTGCCGAACTTCGAAGACCATTACGGACAGGATAACCCTGCTGTCGAGTTAGAAGTTCTATGTCTATGATCCTTTTTTGCTATAAATTTTAAAGTACTGTCTGAGTTAATAACAAATAATGCTACATATAAACGACCTAGAAGACCAATCTTGGATATTATTTACCAACACCAGCCCGATGAATTGAAGATAAATACGGACCTATGCAAAGGTTTAAACCGTATGTTCGGTTACTGCGTTACATACAAAAGAGAAATACAGGAACAGGATGTGTATAATTGCCCTGTCAAATCGAATAAATATAGCAGTTTGACAACCTCCTGCGGCGGGATGTCACTTGACGCCTACGGTTGAAATTTCTCCATTTACTAAATACGTAAACTGCAGCCTTGTGATTGTTTTTTTTTATCGAACCACTAAGTTGTATTCTGTAATCGAGAGCAAATGTCCGACGGAATTTTTTAATTCGTAACCTATATTTGCTATTTTCGAACTTTATCGTGTTACAACTGACAACACTGCCTGCGTTTTAAACTTCACTGCCTTAAGGGTAGCGTTGAGCTTTAGCGATCAACGGAAAACGAATTTTTTCATTGCTTCAAATAATGAAAAAGTAAAAGAATCAACGTTACTAAAATAAGGTACGGTTTTTCTTTTTCTAACCGACCAAGATGTCAAAAATACGATTTCCGTTCTATGCTCCCTAAGACACCTCGAACTCGTAGCCGACGTATACTGTGCATCCCGTTCGCTCCTATCTTTGCAATCACGTAAAAGATTGCTCCGTTGTTATTTGGTGAACTGGGTCCGGGGTTCCAATTTTTTCATTGTTCGTTGATCGGTGTGGTCTAGTGCAGTAAGTGCCGCGCGACTAGCGGTTTTACGAGCCCGAGGACCTCGACAACGACGGCACCGTGCAATACCCATTACAATATAGGAATTATGACCGAATTAATTATCCTCGATATCATTGGCTGAGCCGGAGATCGAGTTACGTCGGAGGATTTATCGGTCACAGGTCTTCCCGATTTCGCGTATTACAACAAGAGAAACGAAATGGAACACAGCACCGAACCGGAACACAACTTTTGTGCCGATTCTCAGGGGCAGATCCTCAATTCTACCGTTAACCTTCACATCATCGCGACGACTGGGAATAATTTCCACCTCGCCGTACCCAGCAATAGCACCGTCGAACATTTGAAAAAGCTGATCTCGAAAAGGCTGAAGGTCTCGGGCAGTAAAATCTGCTTGCTGTTTAAGGACCGGTAAGTTAACTTTACCTCTTGTCTGTGACTGTGAGTCATCCTCCGTTTCTATAGACAATTAGAGCATGGATCACTGTCTGAGCACGGGATTTCGGACGGGTCCAAAATCATGCTGCTGCCCAATGTAGAAACTGGCCTTGTGGTAAATAGGGGATTCGTTTTACTTATTTTTATTGCCGGGTTCGCCTTTTGTAGAACCACCACCCCGAAATCAGCATCATGCAGATACTGGAATCTCTAAACGACACCCAGGTGAACGATTTTTTGTGCGGCAAGGCCCCGTTGAACCTCACCATGCGTCTCGGCGATCACATGATGTTTATACAGCTGCAGCTCAGCTCGGTACCTTCAAATAATAGGTGCGTGACTGCGTATTATATAAAATACTTTCATAACTGTTCGTTATGGATAGGTCGTCCCATCACGTGCCCCTGACCCAGTGTCCGGACCCCCCCAATGTGCACCAGGCCTGCAAAAACCTCCAGCGGGCGGTGCAACAGTTGTCCTCAGATATAACCGCCAAAAAAAGCAGAGGTAAATAATTTCAGTCCTCACTGAACACGGAGTACCACAGGGATCTATCTCAGGCCCTCTTCTATTTTTAATCTAAATAAACCACGGTGTCTTTGAAATTTGACATTTTGGACCCCCCGAGTCTATTGAAATTGTGGGCGGGAAAGTATTTGCATTTGCAAAAACCGTTTATGGGGTCAAAAAGGTGCTCGAGTGGAAATAAAAAGCCTTATTCTCGATAATTTTCTAAAATGTACAGGGTGTGCCTGTTATTCGCTCCTTCTGTACAGCGCGTTCGAGATATTTCGTGCCATATTATGAAATGCGGAGTGTTAAATTTGCAGCTATCGATTTCGAAATATTAAATAATTGAGTAGGAAGGTTTTATAATTACTTTAAGAATGTTAATATTAACTATCAATACGTAATTTATAAAAGAGAAATTTTTATATTACACCGGGGAATCTTTATTTACCACATACCAAATATATATATTTTCAAACAATTTGTACTATATACATTTACATTTTTTTTAATGGAAAAACAGGTCTTTGGAGAAATGTGTTTTTTTTATACTTGAAAACTTAAATTGGGAATTTTTTTATGGATCCATATTTCATGCTTACAAATGACCATAAAAAATGTTTTTGCTATTTACAAAAACTTGTTTAAAAAATTGGTAGTTTTCAAGTTATGGCCAAATTTCTGCAACAGCTCGTACATTTTATGCTTGTGTCTTGTGTTCAATTTAAAAAACTGAGATTTTATAATTATAAAAAATATATTTTCGATGTTCATTTGTGACCACCTGAAATAATATATTTTCGCCATAGATATAGGTCAAAGCATTAAATATTTACACCACTTCTACAACATTAAAAATGAAAAATTTCATTTTTCTCAAAAACCAATGAGAAAAAGTACCTAAAATCGAGTAAATAATTAGAATTTCCATTCACTCTGTATGCATATAGGGCCAAACATTTTTTGCTTAACTAGTGAATTAATAAATAATTAGAATAAAATATAAAAAAAAACTTTTTTAAAAATTGATTGCCCTTTGAAATTTGATTATTTTTTCTTGTTGTGCTCCACTGAATTCATCGCTTTTGTTTTTTTATTTTCATTTTTTTTGTACTGTTGTTAGCTTTGCATATTATTATCAATTGACCAGTTCTTAATTGACAACAATTTTAGTAATAATGTGTGTTTTATTATAAATTATTAAGCGTTTGTGATGTCGAATTTACCCATAACCCTCTTTCAACGAATATCTGGATAGAATACTTCGGAGAATGTCAACAGAACAACTTACAATAAATAAAATAGTAAAGTAAATAAAAATACAATGAAGTTTGAAGTTGAAATTTAACATCACAAACTACTCAGCAATTTATTCTTAAATGCATATTATTATTATTATTATTATTCAATAATGATAGATAACACTACAACATTTTTTGACAGGTTTTTTTTTTTCAAAAATACCAAAAATTTTGTGGCTCGCTAGTATTTTGCAAAATTATAATGAATAATAAAGGAAAAATATAAAATTCGATAACTTAAGCATCTACTCTGCTTCAACATCCACATAGAAACCTGCTATAAAAAGGTAGAGCATTATTTCGTGTAAGTTCTTTACTTTGTCTTCAGAGATTGGTTTACCATTTAGCTTTTGGTCATTCTTTTGTAATTTAATAGGTCTAATATGTAACCAGTTTCTTTTTTCTCTTGTTTCGGTTTATCGTTTATAGTTTTTCAATATTTGAAACGTCATTCGATGTCGTTTTTTTTTTTTTTTTTTACTATAAATGACCCTGACCAATGACCAAATGACCAAAATTTTTTTTTTGAAGATCAAAAGTCGAGCACAATTTGCGTTTAGCTTTTTCAAAATCTTCTTAGCACAATGTTCGAGCATTATTGGCTAACTCTAAATGTTGCCACTTACAAAACTTCTGCGTGGGTTGTTGTTGACTCGAACTTGCCAATCATCCTGTTGACTTCTTCAGAACTTGGCAGATTCAGTTAAGGTCCATTCAATGTGCGCACGCGCGAGATTTAAAATTTCATTTTTAACCAATGGCGGCCCTAATGGCAAATTCTGACGTTGGACCCATGAGGCCTTCGGTTTTCAACAAACAATATGGCCGATGACAGGTCGTCCATGTTTGGATGCGTCATTTTTACAATAGTATTTTCTCAAAATATGTCGAAATCCTATTAAATTTTCAAGCAAAAAAGGAGGTAAGATGTCAGTATAATTCTGTAAACAATTTGGCGTTTTTGTTCTTTAATCCCTGTAGATAGGATGCAATTTCTGCATATATTTTTTCCTTAGCCTTAGTTTTCATAGTAGGTTTAACCTCTATTGAAATAACTTTAAGATGCACATGAAACGTCCAAGGGAAAAATGTTCAACAAACACCTCCTATAGACAGTAGCTGACAAGTTTGTTCTAGTAATAATTCAACTTATAGCTCAATTGTTTTCTTATATTTCCCGTAATTCTTGTACACTAAAACATTCTTCGTAGCTATTTAAGGTTACCTAAAAATGTAGGGAATTCGGTAAGTCAATTTTCCAGTTTTTAAATGTCAAATATATAAGCGTCACTGTTTCTCCAAGATCCTATTTGCCACATTTGCTGTAATTCCGCCAAAGAACAATGTATTGAAAATTTTCCAGAAATATTACGGCAAAGTATCAAGTCAAAGTGAATTAAGAAGAGGCCAATAAATAATTTTTGAAAGAAACTTCCACAGAAATAAATAGTACTATGGAATTTTTTTTTGTAATCAACGAAATAAATAAATAAGTAATAAATAAATCCAGTAGAAATTTGCAGAGATGTTTTTAGAACTTAAACTATTGATTAATGTACATAAAAATAAAGACAAATTTCGAACAAGATCGGATATTCATTGTTACTCGACAAGAAATAAAAATAACTCCCAGTTAAAAAAAATTGCTGTAAAAAAAACACATTTTAATTCCAACATGCTATAATATGCTTCCTGCTGAAGCTATAGACGTATAGCAAAAGAAATTAAAAAAATTTTGAAAATCTTTACTGACAACATAACTATCCGAATACGAAAGTTATACAGATAATAGATAAAATTAAAAAAAAAGGCTGTTATTCTATTGTCAGTGACTATACAGCCCGTATGGACAGTTAAAACTGTTGTATTTAAGGTTTTCACATATTCTACAGGGTGTTCGGGATATTCCGTGTAATATTCAAAAACGTCATAGGTGACTTAAATATGTAGCTATCGACTTCAAATTTGGAAAAGAGTTCGTACACAAATCTAAATAGTAGAAATTGAGCGTAAAAAATATCACCAAAATTAAACAAAAAAAAAAGAAAATTTTTCTTTGTATTCCATGACACAATTTCCGTTGGTATTTTTCACGTAAAATTTTGTATTTGTTGTATGTTTTTGAATTTTGAAAATATTTAAACATATGTCTTTTTTTTGTCGACGAAACTATCCTTTGTTATATTGATATTAGTGATTAAATGGCTACTGCACCTCTCTATTTCAGTTCTCTCTCCTTTTGGGCGGTACGGCAAAAACAAAAGTAAAAATCAAAAAATAAGTATAAGTCCGAATATTCTGAATTTGCGTCATATAAAAAAAAATACAATAAGGATAACTATAAAGGCAATACTAAAGTGAGCACCCAACTAATGGGTTTTTGTAACGCCAAGAATAATTTTTCACATTTTTCAATAGTTTATACCCCTGTTCAGTTTCATATTATTCTGAATTCCCTCATTTTCCCTATTGTGAACAATTTTTTTTTTCTAAAACCTCAACGGCCTTAAATTTCGCATAGGGGTGCAGCAGGAGAGCGTATTTTCGGGAACGTTCAGCCGGGTCCTGAACCCGGTGCTGCAGGACTCGAAGGGTCGGCCCCACAGGGACGTCGGCACCATCATACATATCCTGAACGATCTGCTGTGCTCGGTGCCGGATCAGAACGGGTCGGGAGGCGGCGGTCCCTCCGCCGCGACGTCTAGCGACGCCGCCGACGCCGAGGGCGTCGCTTCCCCCGTCTCGGATGTCGTCTTCGACGAGAACTCGGTGACCCGAAGCAAACTCGATCAACTCAGGCTAGTCCTTGGCGAAAAGAGGGAAAGACGGAAGAGGCGGAAGCAGAAACCGTATTCTCTGCCCCCACAGAACGAAGACGCGGTCTCCGTCTAGACATTGTGATATAAAACGCCCCTCCCTTACCCCCTTTTATTTCTCCGTTTGCACCGGGACCCGAAACCACGTGCCAAACCGAGTTAGTTATCCTCCCGATCTATTCATAATCATTTACGATTTAGGACCACAGTTATGTTTACGTCGATAGTTTAATTTGCATGTGCCCTCGTTTTAGTTTTCGCATATTATGACGGACGAAACTGTTAAATACACACTAGTTTATTTTACGGTTGCTTTTTTTAAACCTTTATCCTTCCCGCGTTCCGTACGTTCCCAGCAGGTTTTAAGGTGTCACATGACTAACCTTGGCAACACTGACGTTACACTTTGTTTTCTCAAAGAAATTCTCACAAAATTGAAAAGCGAATGATATCTGCGATAGGTTAGATACGTATCAGACCATGGAATATTAAAAAATTTGATTCACCGGTAAAAGCATGGTGACACCCAAGAATCGTAAACCTAATAGGATTGCCCAGTCCCATAAAACATATGTTCGCCAAAATTATCGATCGCTTGTGACGTAAGCGAAGTCCTCTAACGGTTTTTGTGTATTCTGTCAATGCATTTGCAGGCGTATTAAACCGTTGTATTTTGTGTTCTTTGAACAATTAAAATAATTTAAACTAGTGAGTAGTGCGGTTATGTTTGTGTCAATTGTATTTCTGTAAAAAAAACTTGGGCAAAATAGTGTTTTCAAGCTTTAACAAATACTTTAAAATTGTATGAGCTTGAGTGGCAAGAACTGAGAAAAACAGTATTTTTAACCTTAAAGACTTAAAAGTTTTGTGTTGCTCCTGCTTATTAACGGTGTTATTAGTTAGGAGGTAAGCTCAAAATATTACACATAATAATATAGGTAAAGGTAAGAAATACATTTCTTTTACCTCTTTCAGTGGGATAAGTTACATCAAAAAATAGTTAGGTATGCCTGGAACGAGATGTTCCATGTATGGGTGCAATAACAACTAATTTGATGAAAAAGCAAGTTTTCGAAAATGTAGTTTTCATCGCTTTCCCAAAGGGAAAGATCTAGTATTCCGAACTATTCAGAACGAGTGGATAGTTCTATGTAGAAGAGAGGACAAACTTAATCCAGATAAAAGCTATGTCTGCTCAGTTCATTTAACTGCAAATGATTACGAAAGAGACTTACAAAATGAGTTTTCCATATTCATGACTGGACACAATCACAGAGGCGTTGAAATTCGACATTGCAACTAATGAGAGAGAGCCTTCATCTCTATCTTGTACTCTTTGGTCACACCATTAACCGTCCCATTCTTTGTTTTATTTTGCCTGCCGATAACCGACCATTAGAAATACCATGCAAATATCCAGCAAAATGTCAAACAACATAACCACAGATGTCTTCGCTTATTCTTACTTCTGATTTTAGATTTAGAACTGCAGTACGATTAATATTTCTATGGATAACCAAGTAGTATTATTCCAATTTGAAATAAACATTCATTATTTATTTATTTGTAGGAATGAAAAAAAAAAAACAAAAAGAAAATTTTTAAACATCGTTAACAGAACTCACTAAATCAATGCGAATTTTCGACATCGAGTGCAATCAATATAGCACTCTCTGGAATGTCAATATTCTTCAAGTAACTGTAATTTTGGTAGAATAAATGCTCCGAAAGCCAATTGAATTTCCAAGGAACTATGTTAAACTAGATTGTAACAAGGTAACTTGGGGATGACACTACGTATCTCAGAAAACCCATATATTCAATGTGTTTTGGGATTTATAGTCTTGAAAAATTCAAATGTTAATCTGGTGAAGATCACCCAGCGCAAAAAAGTGCATAACATAGGTCTCCGGTACAACATTTCTTATTACATTTTTTAAAATTTGTGTCGGTGTGCGTTTTTTCATTACCTCAAAACTCTGGCCAAAGTTATTTCTTGATCTTCATCTTCTCAAAGCTTCTGAATTTTGCGCCGATAGAAAAATCAAGACAAAGGAAGTTCGACAATTTCTCGGTGTTTCCACTGAATCATTGCCTACCACCGCCACGTTCCGAGTTCATAACAGGGAAACGCGAAACAAACCATATATCGGTAAATAAATAACTTTATTGCTAGCTATAGTACAAGTTATACACGCTTAACCTACAAAGTATAACGATAAATAGCTGCGTGCGCCTCCTCGAACGCCCTAATAACTCGAATACTGGAACTATTAAGAGAACTACTGTTTGGGCACCCGACCGATTAAAACAGCCCCCCCTTACGGCCGAACAGCAAACTACTGAGCGTGCCGAGCGTGGAAGTGTGCGATGACGTTTCCGCCTTGGGCGGGGGACTCTTCCGGGCGGATACGGTGCCTAGGTCAGGTCTGGTGACGCCCTGCCTGCGCTGTTTGCGAGCGCTGAGCTGCTCGAGACGCGAGCTCAGGGCTCCGCTACCAGGCTTGCCCGGCACGCCCATGCTCGGACGGGAGGGCGCGGGTCGTTTTGACGAGTCGACGCTGGGCTCGGCGCCGCGACCGGGCAGCAAACACGTCAGCTGCGCCATGGGGCTCGTTAGCGCGGGCCTAGTGTACAGGCCCGCGGACAGGGCGCCCTGCCCCACCATCAGGTTGCTCAGCCCAATCTTCTCGATTTTGCCGACCAAACTCTGCGACGAAAGTTTAAAAAAAAATAGCAAAAGGGTACGATAGTGAGACGAAGAAATTACATTTAAAAAAATTAAAGGAAAAAACGGAGACGATTTACCAAAAAAAAAAAAAAAAAATAGAAATAACTAAGTAAATCACAATTAACAGTTCAGCTTTTCACGAAATTATATATTTTCACATGACAATTGTTTCGACAACACCGTGTTCCGATATTTACAAACTACCTGCTACTATATATATATATCGAAAAATGATATTAGTATAATGTTGTTATGAAAATTTAAGTTTAATAATGGAAATCTAATTGATCGTTAAGCAATACATTTGAATGTCTCATTTTGTTAATCTACATGGCTTCCAGTAAATTTAATTTTCTCCTTTTTGCAGCCATTTTGTGTGTATAAGGGTGATTTGAATTGTTAGGTTAAGTTAGGTCTAAAAAATTAATAGAGGTATCCTATTCAATTTCGATAGTGAATTTTATACGATTATGTAATGAGTTGACGTAATTTAAAATAGAATTCAATTGTCTGTCCGTTGCAACAAAGCAAGCAAAGACATCATTCACGTATCTATACCACTATACAAAACTTAAAGAAAAGAAAATAGAAGAACAAATGATCAAAGAAAAGCAAAGGAGCGGAAATGACAAATTGTATCGAAAGAAAGAAATGACGGAAAAAATGTAAACGAAAAATCAAATATACCAACAAAAATAAAAGACAGAAAAATTATTATTAATATTAATTGTTACTATTATTATTAATTATCATTATTAAATTGATCAATTTGAATTAAAGATTAAGTTAAGCTTGATAGTTTCGAAATATAGATAGAAACAGATATATAATGTTGTGTAATAATGATGACACTTTGGAAAGAAAAATTAGAAAATCTAGATTTTGAGACCCAATGAAGTGAAAATTGCTTCAAACAACGGTTAAGGGCAAAAGAGAAAAAAGAATTTAAGAAAAGAGAAAAATGGAGAAAAGAAATGCAAAAGAAAAACTAAATAAGAATACAAAAAAAAAACAAATCTAGTGTAGGGCCATTTTTTTTTTCTTTGTACACGAATAAGAAAGCGAAGAAATTACTTAGAAAAACGAGCAAAGGCAAAAGAGAGAAAAAAGTAGCAAGGAAAAGCAAATATAGATAAATTTAGATAGAAATAGATATAGGTTCGCAAAATAATGAGGAGAGCTAGGAAAAAACGAATAGATGACATCCTAATACAACTTAGGGCAAAAGAGAAGAAACGATGACAAAAGAATAGTAATAAGAACTATTATTAATATTATCGTTGATTATTACTAATATTATTAATTTTCATTATTAAATTAAAAAAAAAATAGAGAATAAAAATATAAAGGAAAACTAAATGACCAACAAAAAAAAATCTGGTGGCCATTTTTTGTACACGAATACGACAGAAAAATTATTATCATAAAATAAATACAGATAAATAAGGGCAAAATAGAAGAAACAATAATGAAAGAAAAGAGAGTAATAAAGAAAACCGTATAAAAGAAAAACTAAATAACGATAGAAAAATGATATAAATTAAATACCTCTTGTTTGTCGATTTTGGCGGTCGATCGCCTACTCTTGGCGGATGGGGGCGGTTTACGTTTGCCGCCCACGGTGTCCCTGAGGAACTGAGGCACCGAACTCAAAATCAGCTGAGGCAAACTGAAAGCCTCGGGCTCGGGCGATCCGCCCCTGGGGGAGGACAAGGGCGTGGTCGCCTCGGGGCTATTGTACGGGGTGGCGGTCGGGGTGAAACTGTTGACACCGCTGGGCGTGTTTACGGCCGACGGGGTGACCGCTTTGATTCCTGGAAGCACAAAAATAAAAAAATAAAATAAATATAAAAGAATAAAATTTAAAAAAATTATAAACGAGAGGCAACCGTAGGCGATTGACGAAGGTGCATCGGACGCGTGGCCTAGAATAATTTTCGTGTATACAGGACGTCCTAGAGGGGTATAAGAAAGTAAATTGTAATGTAATGGATGTAAAGTAAAGTTATGTTTTATCTCATGGAACCCCCTATATATGTATGCGTATTTGAATTCTACCTTTAATTCTAAAATTGTGTGTAATTTAGTTATTTTCATCTATACAGGATGTCCCATCAAGGTGTAATACAGTTGTTTTTCTTCTTTTGAAACCACCTATGCATTTATTCGTATTTTAATTCAACCGTAAATTCCAAAATTATGTGTTACTTTTCTAAATAACTACAACCAAAAGTTATTTTCATGGATACAAGGTGTTCCGCAAGTACGAAAGTAAAGTAATATTTTTTCTCTCGGAACTGATTATATATTTATGCGTATTTGAATTCTACCTTCAACTTTAAAATGGTGTGTCACTTTTCTAATTGGCTACAACCTAAAATTTTTTCATGTATACAGGATGTCCCATAACCGTGTAATGAAATAAAATTAGTTTTAATCCTTTTGTAGTTATTTCTTGGGCATTGGAAAATATTTGACTTCAACAAAACAAAAACGAAATACTTAAGTTGAAAAAAATAAAAATAAAAATTGCACATATTCAAAAATATGCGATAATGAGACAGTTATCACAATAAACAACGCTACCGAATTTAAACAAGGGATATTTAAATATGTTTATTAATTTAAATTAAATTATCCAAAACATTATTTCGTCATATTTATTGTTGTTAAATCTAAAATTGTACAAACCACTTTTTCAGTATTTTCGAAAAAATGATGTACTTTAACCACTAATAAAATCAAAATAGAAAATAAAATACAACTAATATTGAAAGAAAGTAAGAACACTTTTATTCATGACATATCTGAGATACTTGGGATACTGCTGTCTAACAGTATTAACGCAGTTAAAATTCAAACGAAAAGATATAAAAGATTGTTCAATAAGAAAAAGCCTAAATTTATTTCTATACACATTTACGGGACATCCTGTACACAAAAAAAGAATTTCTAATTTAAAAAACAACATTGAAGATCCGGAGATATCAGAAGAATGTAAACGCGAAAACAAGGGATCAAATCGGAACAATGTTATCTAATGACGGGAAATCTTATTCGGTAGCGATAAGCTTCATTCGAGAATTAAGATAACAATAAAAAAAAAAACAAACAACGTTCGATCTCGGCGAGAAATCCAAGCCGCAGTTCGAAGCATCTTCATCAAAGAAACGACGAAACTAGTCTACGATATCTACCGGGCGGGGACTTTTGAACTACTGGCCCCTTTTTCAATTCGACAGAGCCGGTTAAGAGCTTTAATTTTTTTCTTCGGTAAGGAGTGTATGAAATCTATTTTTTTTTTATATATATTAGGTGTGTTAAAACAACACTTGCAGTTTAACCGGAAGTGATGTTAAAATAAAAATCTGCCATACTGTTACGATATTTCCATTTACCTCTGATTTTTGCTGAATAATTTTTATAACACCACTTCCGGTTAAACAGCTTAAACCGGAAGTGGTTTCGACAATCTGAACACGCAAAAAATGGGGGGTTTTATGCACTCCTCGCCTTATTAAGAAGCCAAAAAAACATGTTCGAAGCATAAGCATCTCTCGTGTCACCCTGGTACATTTGAACTACTTTCTAGTTTTTATATTCCTTCGGTGTATTCGTTTCAGCGTTTTGCTTTACTTACTTGTCCCCTTTGACCGAAGTTTAAAGAGACGCGGGAAGCAAGTTGTGCAAACAAAAATGTCATCTTTATTTTTTTTTTAACATTAAGGACCTCAAACCATATACACTCATATTAAACAAAAAAAATGTAGGTCTGCTTTTACATATGGTTTTTCTTTAAAGATATAAGTTAAGAAGAAGAAACCTGCTGCACATTTTCCTACGTCAATCACGTTATAAAAAACATTATACAAGGAAGACCCACCAATGGATGGATGAAATAGTCCAAAAAACAGCAACTAATGATGAGCTCACGGAATTAACTAGGCAATAAAAATATTGACAGATTTTTTCTTTCTTTCGATTGCGTCCGACCATGAAATAGACGGTTAACTACTACTACCACTATCGACAGGACTTCAAAAGGAAGATGGGTTGTTATAGATGCTTCATCACAACTTCTAACATACTGAGAAAGGATAAACTCAAGTATCTGACTGACTTAAATTTTATTTGCCATTATAAGCATGAACGCTATTAAATTTAGTACCTAACCAACACTCTATCCATGTTCCCCATCAGTCAGAGTGGATCTTTCCGTTGCTCGCACCAAGAATTAAGGGAACTGGGACGCTGCGCAGGCGCACAAAACACAAACGACAAAGGTGCACGCGTAGAAATAAAACACCCGGTATATCAAGCAACCCCCCCACACCCCCAGTCCTTTATTGTATACAACTCGACCCTCGAACCGAAGATCAGTAGCTAAAAGTGCGCAGGCGTCGAAAAATCTTCACGAACAAAAGCTCACCTCGCTCGTTGAGCATCTTCGCTAGACCGAAGGTCGTCGAGAATGTGCTACAGGAGTTGCGCCTGCTGAGCGCTGCCGGCGTCTGAGGCGGCGAGTTCTGCAAGCTCGAGCACGCCGACGTCATCCTGCTGCCGCGGTTGCTGCTAGACACGAAGGTGCCGTCGTCCGGATGCATCACGGTGCTGTTGGTATAGGTGTAGGTGTGGACGGACGCTTCGAAGGCCTTGCCAGGGTTCGAGTACTCGTCGTCCTCCTCCAGGTCGCTCAGACCGTACGATTCCAGGCCGATGTCCTCCAGCTCCTTGCCACCCCTGGAAACGCGCGTTTTTACGTATTTTATGTTTTCACAAATACGTCAAAAAAAAAAAATTGATTAATAACCTCGTTACAAAGGTTCAGGCGACCAACGACGGGGCCACAGCCAACTTTAAAAAGATCCTACGTCTAAATTAACCAGTTTCGTTTGTATCATCAAACCTATTTTGGTAAAATGTGACGTTTCACTCACCTGTAACTTGTCATTTTTACGATGAAGCTTAAGAAATGGGCAATACACTAAACTTGAAATTTTACATTTGATCTTTAAAGTTTGATATATTCTAAAATGTTGGTAAATCTTGTCCAAGATCTTTTTTTCTGGGCGCCCCCTTAATAGACATTTTTTAATATAATCTCTAGGAGCCGGGGTCCAGCTTTTATTGTACGATATGTAACTTTCTAACATTATCAATCTTTTCCTGTGCGGTAAACATAATACGCACTAACTTAACTCATATTGGCAACAGCATGTTTAAAAGGAAATTTTTCAAAAAAGTAAAAAAACTCTATACAAAATTGCCTTAAGTTTCGATGCTAAATATGATAAGAATAGAATAAACAGAATTCAAAAATGAATTAATATGACAGGCGTTGCATTTAAAATAAGAAATTTGATACTCGCCCACGACAAACGAAACACCCTGTATATACAACGTTAAAAAAATTGAAGGAAAGGAGAAGAGGAGAAAAATAACAAGAAAAAGGAGAAGCGAAAAGAAAAAGGTGTCATTAATTGTTTACGAGATTGAATGAGGGTTGAAAGAACTGGAAAGTAGGTTGGCGCTGACAGGGACGGCGGATGAGGGATATGAATGACCTCGAGCGGACCAGTTTTCGCAGAAGGTTATTTTTTTCTTTTTTTTTGCCTTTATTGTTGTTAAAAATGTACTTAAAAACAATTTAAATAACAATACTTCGTTGGAAGTCAGTGGCAATAAAAATTTGTCTTGTCTAATTTTGAACAGTCACGGTTATTCTACTAATGCCCCTTCCTACCTTATTTTGACCCCTGGCCTCTCGTCGAGGAGACCGCTGAACGTAGGCTGCGCTAGCTGCGACCAATGGTGCAAAGTCTGCGACCCCTCCATCGGTTTGACGATCTGCAGCTTTTCGGGCAGCTTCCAGCCGCCACCGCCACCGGCGGCGGCGGCGGCGCTGTAGTAGTTACCGCCGCCCGAACCGGTCGACATGAGACTGTCAGGGGTGCGACAACCGTACGGCAACGAAGACGATTCGCTTTCGTAGCCGCCGTATGCGAAGCCGTGCTGCAGATTGGCGCGGCGAGCGAGTACCGCCCCCGGCGTGAGCCGCTGGAGAGCGGCCTCGAGTTCGGTGGCGCCCGGCACCCCGGGAATCCCCTTCCGAGGGGGACCGCTAAAAAGGAAAGAGCAATGATTTTATCTAAAAAAAAAAAAAACATCTTTTTATTATTAGGAATATCAACCCAATATTTTGCCGTTTAGTATGAAACAATTAGTTTAACGATATAAAAAAATTACATATTTTACATACAATGAAGCTTTACCACATATTTTTAGTTATAATCAATTTTCAATAATAGGGGAATTCATTTTTCAGTATTTTTTTTTGAATTTGCGGCGCACCCTGTGTATTTGTGTCTCTTCTGCTGCTTCTGGTTTAAGAATTTTTTTGGTCTCGTAAACGGTTTTTGAAAAACGATGTTTTTTGTAGACCCTTGCACGCGCGATTTTTTTATTTTTTTAGATTATTTCCCCCCCACCCCCCGCCACCGTTTCCAATACGTCCCGTCACGGGGCAAAGCTGCATATATGTGCCAAATATGAAGTCGATTGCTCCAAATTTCGGACACTTATCGTGTTTCACAGCAATGTTCAGAAAACAGTGGAAAATCGCGAAAAAAAGACGGATGCCGGCGTCGGATCGAGACCATCTTATGTATCTCGCGGAGGGTTAAAGAGGAGGCGAATTCCAATGTTGTAGCACCGACGGTTCGAAAGTTATTCACGAAAAACCAAAATACAAGAACGGAGAACGCACAGACAAAAAAATAATTTTTTTTATGGACGCTGATCATTTCTGCGTCAGCGATTTCATCGATTTTTCGAAAGTAACAAGGAAACGCTTGTTTGGAGCTTAGGAGACATTTCAAATGCATTAACCAAACCATGGAGACGCCACTAACTATGATACTTCAAGGACCGAGGTTCCCGAGACCTATTTTCCCTCCAAATAAGTTGTTTATGTACGTTAAAGTGTGTAATTAGGTGTGCCGCAAAGCTCTACGCTTACGGGTAGCTGTCGTCGGAGTCGGTCTGACTGTATTCGTTGTCCGATTGGCCGGTCGAGTCCAAACTGGGATAGCCGAGCGAGCTGCTGCTGTAGATGGACGCGGACGAGCGTCGGAAGCTGTGACCGCCCTGCGCGCGGACGCTCACGCGAGGCCCGCCCCCCTGGTAACTTGTGCTGCTCACGAAGCCGCCGATACCAGAGTGCAGACTGCCGAGGCTGTCGGCGCTGCTCAGCGAGCTCTGTGACGCGCAGCGCACCGTCTCGAACACCTTTTTGTATTGCGGCCTGAAATCCAAACAACCCGTGTCTCGTATAATTTTATTTATTTATTTATTTATTCACATACACTGCTCAACAGGATCAAACCCAATTACAGAGCAGGAGAACACCAACTACATTTAATCAGAATTACAAAATTATTTACAAAGTATAAACACCATCACACAAATACACTAATATTGCAAAAAAGATGATCCGCAACAAAATCAACATAAGAAAAATGTAATTATGAAATTACTCAGCAAAGAAATTGCAAGAAGACTAGGCACAACAAAATTTTAGCCTAACGCTACTCAAGCTGCAATTAAAAATGAATAGGAACTATGGTAAAGAGGGATTCTGCGTCGAAACTAACTAGAATATCTTATTTATTTATTTATTTATATACACTGCTCAACAGGATCAAACCCAATTACAGAGCAGGAGAACACCAACGACATTTAATCAGAATTACAAAATTATTTACAAATATACTAATATTGCAGAAAAGATGATCCGCAACAAAATGAACATAAGAAAAATGCTAATGAAGGAAATTACTCAGCTGCAACGGCGACGAAATTGCAAGAAGACTAGGCACAGCAACATTTTAGCTTAACGCTACTCAAGCTGCAATTAAAAATGTCTAAATCGCCGGTACGGTTGGATACGTTGCACATATTAATTTCGAGACATTGGTCCTCGCGGTGGGAACGTAAAAGGTAGCAGAGTATCGCGGAACCATGAAATTCAGCTGCTCGAGTAGGTCAGGACAATTTACCGAATTATGAATCAGCTTGTATAACAAAACTTGTGACAAATACTCGCGCCTGGTCTGAGGAACACCCTGTTCAGGATAAGATCCCTGAGTTTTATGATATATTTTAGAAATCGCCTTTGAATGGACCCCAAGTTCTGCGAACGAACGCTATAACCAGGCGACCAGACGGCGGAGGCGTATTCTAACTTCGAGCGAATAAAAACAGTAAACAAAAGCTTTATCGAGTTATGTGAAGCGAAATCCCTACCGCATCTGACTCGATGTGATCGACAAACGACAACTTTTTATCGAATATTACACCCAAGTCCGGTCTAGCAAGAGATGTTGAGCCAATGCTGTAGTCAAAGAGAACTAAGGGCCTTAGGACGGAGCACTGTGGCACACCCGAAGTTGCACTATATTCGCTCGAACTGAAACCATTCACGAAAACGTACTGCCTGCGGTTAGTTAAGTATGATTCAGTCAACGTGAGTAAAGAGGAGGAAAATCCAATTCTAGATAATTTGTTTAACAGAATGCTGCGATCTAGTCTGTCAAAGGCTTTCGTTAAATCTACATAAATGACATCCAGCTGTGCATGGTCATCGATGGCACTAGCTATATCCTGCGTGATAAGAAATAAATTTGTAGTTGTCGATCTACCCCTTATAAAACCGTGCTGTTTCGAACACACCTGTTGACTCCATTATACAGAAGGATTTCGAAAACCTTGAGGAAGTTGCATATTATCGAGATGGGTCTATAATTACTGATGACGTTCTTGTCTGAATTCTTATGAACTGCGCAAACTCTGGAAGTTTTAATGGACGTGCCAGTAGACTATTACGTACGGTGGTAGAGTTAAAATTTCTCACCGATGTCGTTGCTAACCGAACGGATAAAAGGGAATAACTTCGCGGTTTCGTGTGATGCGGACCACTATGGAACTTCCGCAAAATCGATGTGATTTAATAACGTTCTTCTTGTATTTTGGTGTCTTCTACATAGTTCTTCGATTTGTAAACAACAACGGTCTTTTTTAACACATTAAAATGTGGAGACCGTGGAATGAATCAGATTTCCCCTGTTAGAAGAAAACGTGGAAAACGAAGCAGAATTTCAAGACGAAGTGGAGATGGTAGTCGATATTTTAGATTTTTTGCCCATAAACGACACACCCTGTATATGATTCAAACGATGTTCGAAGTAGAGGTTATAGCCCTGGAGCTTCCGCGGTTCCTGGTTCAAGAATTTTTTGAAAATAGTAAATGGTTTTGGAAAAAATAAGTTTTTTCTGAAACCATGCAGTGCGCCGTAATAACCAAAAAAAAAATCAAAATTTTAAAAAAAAAATTTTGGTAAAATTTGATTGCACCCAATTTCTACCGATTAAATGTGAACACGGACTTTTACTTATCTAGCAAATTTAGGACACTTAACACATTTTTCATTTAGCACGGAATATCAAGAACACCCTGTACAATAGGTGGAAACCTTAAAAACAAAAATTGTTCCAGTCTATGCGGGTTATATCGCAATATAAAAGAAAGTGAGATCTGAATCATAGTCTTTCAGTTATAAATAATTTGCAATAATAGGGAGACCCATTTTTCAGTTTTTTTTTTAATTTAAGACGCACCCTGTACATTTTTGAAAAATTGTGAAGAATAAAAGTTTATGGAGCCGCATCCTCTGTACCTTTTGGTTCAAGAATTTTTTCGGTCTTGTAAACGGTTTTTGAAAAAAAAGTTTGGACACTTATCGTGCTTCGTAGCAATGGTAAAGAAACAGTATAAAATTTTGAAAAAAAGATGGATGCGGGCGTCGGATCCAGGCCATTTCGTATAAGCTTACGTGTCTCGTGAAGGGTTAAAAAGGAGGTAAATTTCAAATTTGCAGCTCCAACGGTTTGAATCTTATTCAGGAAAAACCAAAAGACGAGAACGGAGAACGGACAGACAAAAAAGAAATTTTTTTTTCGATTGATTTCGATCGCTTCATTTCGTCGCGAGTTCCGAAACGAAATCCAAAAATACTGGGCAAAATGGCCGCCGACGCGGGGTCGCCCTCGAAATTTCGCGGGCGGCCGCCGTCCGACCGATATTAGAACTGAGGAAGAACGTTTTAAACTCGCAGCTCCGGCCGTTCGAAAGTTATCCGCGGTTTCGTAGGTCAGTTACGGAGAACAGAGAACGGCGTTTTTCGAGAATCGATTCGTACTCACACGTCCGGACCCGAGATGCCCGAGTCCTCGCTCAGCTCCGAATGGATCGACATCTCCAGCTCGTTGCGTAAGCTGTCGTAGGGGGCGGTGCCGGTCGCGCCCAGAGACGAGAACAGGCTGAGACGCGCGCCGGGCGTCTGCCTCTTGCGCAGCTTCCGGATCTGATCTTGAGCGTCGCGCAGCAGCGCGGTCACCTCGTAGTACCGCGCCTTGAACTCGGATAACTCGACGGCGAGGCTGCCCTGGTTCTCCTTGGTGATCTGGAGCAGACCGTTCGTCTCGTCGTTTTCGCGCAGCAACTTCTGCAGCTTGTCCTCGGTGTCGCGCAGTTTACTCTGCAGCGTCAGTATTTCCTCGTGCTGTAAACGGTTTTCCTCCTTGGTGCGGTCGAGTTCGTCCTCCAGCAGGCCGACGCTAGAGTTTGCGCACGCTGTCGACGGAGAAAACCGTACGAGACCGCCACTAAAGCAACGACGAGGCGAAAATGACAACTTACTCAGCTGCCCGGTCAGATCCTGGAGCAGCCTCTGCTCCTGGGCCTCCAGGTCGTCGGTGCACGAGGCGAGCCGATTGAACTCGTGCTTCAGCGATTTGTTCTCGTCTTCCAATGAAGCTGTATACGCGAATAATAATAATAATAATAACCATAAATTGCCTTTACTGTTGTATATTTTTATATACAAATATACAATAGAGAAGAGGCAAAGTGTAGCAAAAGCTACTCCACTTAACCTATTAAATGTTTTAATTGACAACTACGAAACTGTAATTTACGAGGTTAGGGCCAAAATTTCCTTCTTCGTATTCTGTAGTGAAAGAAAATGGGCAAAACTTTTTCGAATGAGGCAGGAGTCCCTTGAGTGATCGACGTTTAAAGGTCAAGGAAATCTCAGAAATTACTAAGCTTTCTGATACAAGTGTTCGTCGAATCCTGCATGATCATTTAGGTATGCATAAGGTTAGCGCACGATGGGTTCCTAAAAACCTTCAGAAACGACGCCGTGTCGAGTGTGAGCGGCCTTTTTTGGAACTTGTGGGTCGGAACCGAAGCCTGTGATAGAAACTATTGTGACGGGAGATGAAACTATGGTTCTCTATCGAAAAAAGAATCAATGGAGTGGCGTCGTAAGGGTGAAGCACCTATTTTGCCATCCAACCAAAAAGGTGATTGCCACGATCTTTTGGGATTGTGAAGGAATTCTTTTGATAGATTTTAAAGAAACTAATACCACTGTCAATGGTAAATATTACGCAACATTATTACATAAATTGCGAGATTGCAAACGTGTAAAACGTCGAGGAAAACTGACACAGATAGATCATCCTCCCTATAGTCCAGATATGGCCCTCAGCGACTATTATTTGTTTAGTGGACGGCGGTTTAACGACGATGTTGAGTTAAAAGAGGCTGTTTTAGTTCATTTTGCAGACAGACGAAAAGAATATATTTTTAAAGGCATTTAGTTGTTAATAAAATGATGTAACAATTATATTGAAAAACAATAAAAAGTTGTTATTCTACTTTGTTTCTTTCGTATTTAGGCCTGGAAATTTTGGCGCTGCCCTCGTAGCTCGTAAGTAGGACGGGTTGGATGTGGTAATAATTCAGAAAACCATAGACGCCAAACAGTACTCGAACGTCCTGTCAATTTTTAGCCAGTTAAGTTCGTGGATTTTGTGACAAATCCTATCAAATTTAAGAATATAGAAATGTTACGCAAATCCAAATTGATATAAATTGAAGCAATATAAAACAATTTAGGATCGAAGGGGTAAAATAAAAAATATAAATTAAGAATAATATAAGTCCAAGGACAGAACCTCGCGGTACACCCAATGGAACGGGCAGAAATTCGGAACCCATACTGTCTACTGATATCTGTTAGCTAAATGTAGTTTTCTTTAACTGAATCTAAAGATGTAAGTGCAGTTGCATTATCTAAAGAACTAGTAATGTGATCGTTGATATGTAAAGGAGAAAAGAACATTACACTGCATTTTTTAGCATTAAGTTGAAGGTTAGGCCTGGAAGAATATAGAAATAATAACCCTCTCTCCGCGACATCGCCTCCCGAAAGTCTTACCTATTCGTTTCTGCATCAGGTCGAGGTTGATCTTGCCCGACGAGCTGCTCTCGAAGATGCTCTCGTCCATGTCGTTGGTGAGTATCTGGATGAGCTCGGTCTTTTTGTGGACCTCATGGCTGAGTTGCGTGATCTTCTCGTACGCAGCCTTCAGGTCCGTTTCCAGCGACGCGACCGTGTTCTCCAGCCGATTGTTCGACTGCAGAAGTTCCTTGCCGATCCGCGCGGTCAGCTCCAAGTCCTTTTCTTTCTGCAAATCGGGTGATTTTTTAAGGTTATCTGGTGGGCGTGGCCAACGCCTAGGGCCTACCTCCTCCAGTAGTCTGGTGACCGCTTCGATGTCATCGTAGGTTTTTGTCATTTGGCTCACGCGGTCACTACATAGAACTGTAACGAGGAAAAACGAGTGAAACGGTGTAAAAGGAGAGGAGAGGCGGCGCTTACGGAAGTAGTTAAGGGTTTCCCGGATCTGATCCGGGGACAATTTAAGGTCGACCTCCTCCACCTGAAGCGCGGGTGACGGTATGAACCAATCCTGGTTTTCGTAACCTGAAATGTCGATTAGTATACACGCCTGAGGTCGTCTTGCACAGCAAACTTCGGTGCTATATAATAATCCATCTAAACTTTAACTAATATTGCGAACCTTGAAGTTTTGTAATCGATCGATGGGAATCGATAAAAATTAGGAGTTTTGCTATAAATTTTGGATAGATGAGAAAATCTCCAGAATGTCATTAGAAACATAACAAAACGAGGAATTATGAAGATTAATTGATGGGTCTTGGTGAAATATACAAAAATTGGCCACGAAATTCCTTAAATTACCTAAGATTCCGCATAAAAAACTTAATTAAATTTGTGGGAATTCACTAAAGGATCGATGAAAATTAGGAGTTTTACTATAAATTAGGGATAGATGAGGAAATCTCCAGAATGTCATTAGAAACATAACAAAACGAGGAATTATGAAGATTGATTGATGGGTCTTGGCGAAATATACAAAAATTGGCCGCGAAATTACTTAAATTACCTAAGATTCCGCATAAAAAACTTAATTAAATTTGTGGGAATTCACTAAAGGATCGATGAAAATTAGGAGTTTTACTATAAATTAGGGATAGATGAGAAAAACTCCAGAATGTCATTAGAAACATAACAAAACGAGGAATTGTGAAGATTGATTGATGGGTCTTGGTGAAATATACAAAAATTGGCCACGAAATTCCTTAAATTACCTAAGATTCCGCATAAAAAAACTTAATTAAATTTGTGGGAATTCACCAAAGGATCGATGAAAATTAGGAGTTTTACTATAAATTAGGGATAGATGAGAAAATCTCCAGAATGTCATTAGAAACATAACAACACGAGGAATTATGAAGATTAATTGATGGGTCTTGGCGAAATATACAAAAATTGGCCACGAAATTCCTTAAATTACTTAAAAATCCGCATAACAAACTTAATTAAATTTGTGGGAATTCACCAAAGGATCGATGAAAATTAGGGAGTTTTACTATAAATTAGGGATAGATGAGAAAAACTCCAGAATGTCATTAGAAACATAACAAAACGAGGAATTATGCAGATTGATTGATAGGTCTTAACGAAATATACAAAAATTGGCCACGAAATTCCTTAAATTACTTAAAAATCCGCATAACAAACTTAATTAAATTTGTGGGAATTCACCAAAGGATCGATGAAAATTAGGGAGTTTTACTATAAATTAGGGATAGATGAGAAAAACTCCAGAATGTCATTAGAAACATAACAAAGCGAGGAATTATGAAGATTGAATGATGGATCTTGGTGAAATATACAAAAATTGGCCACGAAATTCCTTAAATTACCTAAGAATCCGCATAAAAACACTTTATGAAATTTGTGGGAATTCATCAAAGGATCGATGAGAATCGATAAAAATTTCAAGTTTCAAATAATTCTGAACTTTATCTATTAAACAACTAAAACAAAATTAAAAAAACAATTAAATATATAGGAGAGCCTAGCAAGAAAATTTCGAAACATCTGTCTAAATTTTGTATTAATATTGCTTTTAAAACTGGAAACACCAAAAAACAATAAAACTAAATTACGAAAAACTCAAAAATCACTCAAAAATCCGGAGTCTACAAGTTGAAATGCGGAAAATTTATATCGGACAAACAGGTCATCATTTTTTTTTGCTCTAATTTAATTTGTGTTAAATGGATTTTCATCAAGTAAAAGCCACCTCAGTCCGACTTTTAATAAGATTCGACAATCTTTAATTTCTCCAACAGTCATTAACAATTAATTAAATCACTTATTAACATTAATATCTTTTGAAGTGCGCAGATTTACGTGTAGACAATTGGGCCGAATAAAAGCGGCGTCCTAATCTTTTCTGGATCAAGATACACATTTGCCATTGTGTTTTTTTTTTAACTAACGAGGTTTTTGGGTTCGAAAATAATATTAATAGAACGATCTGACGCGCACATATCTATCCGTTATTTTTATCTGTTTCGACGATTCGTCCCGTTTAGATATATGAACGGAGATATGAACGGAACAATCGAAAGCCGTATACTTTGTTGTTCGATTAAAATTAAACTAGCGCGATCTAGTTAAACTAATCGTGATAAAGTTTTACCTGATCCTCGGTGCGGCGGATTCGCGTGGTTTTCGAGGCTAAAAAAATATTGGAAAAGCGCGTGATTAAAAAAAAACGAACTCGGCTCGTCTTACGCAACCGTAACCGCGTAAACAATTAAAAAAAAAACGTCGAAAAGCGACATTCTCTTGTTAGCGCGTGCGCAGCAAATCAACAATGACAATAGACCGGTTGGTTTTGAATAAATTAGCGGCAAACTTTAACCCATTTTGATAAACTTTCGAGTGACATACACCGAATGATACAGCTGTCCTTCAACCGTTCTGTAGTTCATCAACTACTGAATCCGAATGGAGATGATGAAACCCTGGAATTCAAAAGAAGACGTACGACGCTTTCTGCAAACGACAGGCTTCCTTCTACTGTCAAATGGAACATAAAATATTTTTTACGTTTTTTTGATGACGAAGTGATTGATTTAGATTTTAAATCTTACATTGCTTTGCGACTTTTAAAACCCACAGCCACATTTTCTCGCATTATGTTCCCTATATCTTCGGTACCCTTTATTGTGGGGCCTCTAGGGAAAGTTGTCCGATTGGAACTGGACTTCCCGATCTCATTTCCGTGTATATATATTTTTTTTAGCTCTTACCCTCTCAAACGTTTCCTTTTGATATAAAAAATTCTCACCAAAGATGTGCTCAACTCTAAGGGGTCGCTATTTTTATTCTAACTTCCCGTTTAATTAACATTGGAAAACATTTTGTAAGGATAATCAAAATAAAAATAACGTAATGAAGCAGAATAGAGTCTAATCCTCCCGGTTCGACAACTACGTCTTAACTAACTTATCGTAAACCCAAAAAACATCGCATAATAATACCCTAATTATCTCCTCACCGCAACTTGCCCACCCTGTCCTTTTTGCCTGAGACGCCGATACATTTTACGATCGGCAAAAAAAACAAGGCGGCGCCTCTTTGTTGCGGGGTCTTGTCGGATATGACGTAATAATATAAATATTCCAACACTCGGCCATCCTGACTATTGGTCTGTCCTCAGACCTAATGGTGAAATTTAAACGTAACTTCAATCTTTCAAAACTACAATACCATTCTAGCTTGGTGCCTAGTCTTAATCATTACGTAATAAAAAAAACATAATCAATTGTAGGTAGTAGGGTATCTTAAACATAAGCGACATTCCTTTATAAACAATAAAATAAGCAACATTTGCTTATAGGCAACGTTTGCCAAAACACAAAACACCAGCGACGTTCGCTCATAGGCAACGTTTGCCAAAATACAAAATACGAGCGACGTTCGCTCATAGGCACGTTTGCTAAAATACAAAGCACGAGCGACGTTCGCTCATAGGCACGTTTGCCAAAATACAAAGCACGAGCGACGTTCGCTCATTGGCACGTTTGCCAAAATACAAAACACGAGCGACGTTCGCTCATAGGCACGTTTGCCAAAATACAAAGCACGAGCGACGTTCGCTCATAGGCACGTTTGCCAAAATACAAAGCACGAGCGAAGTTCGCTCATTGGCACGTTTGCCAAAATACAAAGCACGAGCGACGTTCGCTCATAGGCACGTTTGCCAAAATACAAAACACGAGCGACGTTCGCTCAGAGGCACGTTTGCCAAAATACAAAACACGAGCGACGTTCGCTCATTGGCACGTTTGTCAAAATACAAAACACGAGCGACGTTCGCTCAGAGGCACGTTTGCCAAAATACAAAACACGAGCGACGTTCGCTCATTGGCACGTTTGCCAAAATACAAAACACGAGCGACGTTCGCTCAGAGGCACGTTTGCCAAAATACAAAACACGAGCGACGTTCGCTCATTGGCACGTTTGCCAAAATACAAAACACGAGCGACGTTCGCTCATAGGCACGTTTGCCAAAATACAAAGCACGAGCGACGTTCGCTCATAGGCACGTTTGCCAAAATACAAAGCACGAGCGACGTTCGCTCATTGGCACGTTTGCCAAAATACAAAACACGAGCGACGTTCGCTCATAGGCACGTTTGCCAAAATACAAAGCACGAGCGACGTTCGCTCATAGGCACGTTTGCCAAAATACAAAGCACGAGCGACGTTCGCTCATTGGCACGTTTGCCAAAATACAAAACACGAGCGACGTTCGCTCATAGGCACGTTTGCCAAAATACAAAACACGAGCGACGTTCGCTCATTGGCACGTTTGCCAAAATACAAAACACGAGCGACGTTCGCTCATAGGCACGTTTGCCAAAATACAAAGCACGAGCGACGTTCGCTCATAGGCACGTTTGCCAAAATACAAAGCACGAGCGAAGTTCGCTCATTGGCACGTTTGCCAAAATACAAAGCACGAGCGACGTTCGCTCATAGGCACGTTTGCCAAAATACAAAACACGAGCGACGTTCGCTCAGAGGCACGTTTGCCAAAATACAAAACACGAGCGACGTTCGCTCATTGGCACGTTTGTCAAAATACAAAACACGAGCGACGTTCGCTCAGAGGCACGTTTGCCAAAATACAAAACACGAGCGACGTTCGCTCATTGGCACGTTTGCCAAAATACAAAACACGAGCGACGTTCGCTCAGAGGCACGTTTGCCAAAATACAAAACACGAGCGACGTTCGCTCATTGGCACGTTTGCCAAAATACAAAACACGAGCGACGTTCGCTCATAGGCACGTTTGCCAAAATACAAAGCACGAGCGACGTTCGCTCATAGGCACGTTTGCCAAAATACAAAGCACGAGCGACGTTCGCTCATTGGCACGTTTGCCAAAATACAAAACACGAGCGACGTTCGCTCATAGGCACGTTTGCCAAAATACAAAACACGAGCGACGTTCGCTCATTGGCACGTTTGCCAAAATACAAAACACGAGCGACGTTCGCTCATTGGCACGTTTGCCAAAATACAAAACACGAG